AGAGAGAGAGAGAGAGAGAGAGAGACAGAGACAGAGAGAGAGAGACAGAGACAGAGAGAGAAGATGCTGAAAAACATTGGTGATCTGCGTGTAGAAGGCATGATCAGAAGAACGTGTATGTATTATTCCCACTTCATTCGTCTCTTTTTCCTCTATTCACAGCATGACATTAAGAGAAACCCCCTCGCATTGAACGAAGGAACAGAGACACTACCGTCTGCATTCATATCACGGGATCTTCTTAGACAATATGACGGACCCATATAAGGCGTCGTGTGTTGCTTCTTGGCTATCATGCCGTGAGGGCGCAGATCTCTGTATTTCCAACAGATTAATGACCCTTATCAACGCTGATCGAAGTCATAAGCCATTTGCATACTGCTAAAAGAAGGTGCTCTTCTGAATAAGTTTGTGAGATGATGATAATGATAGTTTCTAAAGAATAATTTTGTTAGCAGTAATAGTATCATCATTATTGTTAGTAGTAGTTATAGTGATAGTAGTAGTACTAGTAGCAATTGTGGTAGTAGTATGCCTCCTACTAGTAATAGTAATAATAGTAGTAGTAGTAGTAGTAGCATTAGTAATGGTAGTAGTAGTATAGTAGTAGTAGAAGTAGTAGTAGTAGAAGTAATAGTAGTAGTAGTAATATCAAAACTAGTAGTAGTAGTGGTAGTGATGGTAGTAAAAATAGTACTATTAGTCGTAGTAGCAATAGTAAGAAGAGAAGTAGTCGTAATGGTCTTCCGAGTATTGATACTTGTAGTAGGAGTGGTAATAGTAGTAGTAGTAGAAGTAAAATAGTAGTATAGTAGTCGTAGGAGCAGCAGAAGTAGTAGTTGTTGTAGTATTAGTAGTGTAGCAGTAGTAGCAGTAGCAGTAATAAAAATAGTATCAGCAAAAGTAGTAATAGCAGTAGTAGAATTATTATTATTTTACTAAAGGCACTTATTGCCGAAAGCGAAGAGCCCAAAGAAGCGAAAACGTGCAAACCAGAAGACGCGAAGACCGAGAGCGCCCACGCATCGCAAAAAAAAAAAAAAAAAAAAAAAAAAAAAAAAAAAACGAAGAAAAAGAAAGAAAGAAGAAAGAAGAGAAGAAGAAAGAAGAAAAAAAAAAAAAAAAAAGGGTTCCTGCCGATATCGATTGCTCTGACGCTAATGGATGTGCGTATATTAGCATGTGCGGAGGGTGGAGTGCAAGATGGCACCGGATGCAAGGTACCCCAGGCGACCCCTGCTCCCGGGCGTGCGGTGACGCCCACACGGTAGACTCGCCGCCGCCCGCCGCCCGCCGCCCATGACCCACACCGCGCGCATGGCGTCAGGAATATTTTTAGAGGCAGACGTGGAGGAAGCTGAGAAAGGGAGAGGAAGGAAGAAAGATGTGTTGATTAGGGGAAGAGAGAGGGAGAGAAGAGAGAGAGAGAGAGAGAGAGAGAGAGAGAGAGAGAGAGAGAGAGAGAGAGAGAGAGAGAGAGAGAGAGAGAAGAGAGAGAGAGAGAGAGAGAGAGAGAGAGAGAGAAGAGAAAGAGAGAGAGAAGATAGAGAGAGAGGAGAAGAGAGAGAAGAGAGAGAGAGAGAGAGAGAGAGAGAGAGAGAGAGAGAGAGAGAGAGAGAGAGAGAGAGAGAGAGAGAGAGAGAGAGAAGAGAGAGAGAGAGAGAGAGAGAGAGAGAGAGAGAGAGAGAGAGAGAGAGAGAGAGAGAGAGAGAGAGAGAGAGAGAGAGAGAGAGAGAGAGAGAGAGAGAGAGAGAGAGAGAGAGAGAGAGAGAGAGAGAGAGAGAGAGAGAGAGAGAGAAGAGAAGAGAGAGAGAGAGATAGATAGAGAGAAGAGAGAGAGATAGAGAGAGAAGAGAGAGAAGAGAAAGAGAGAAAGAGAAAGATAGAGCGAGAGAGAGAGAGAGAGAGTAAGAAAGAAAGAAAGAGAGGGAGAGGGGGGAAGGGAATGTATAATAGAGACAGAGGGAGTGAGAAGAGAGAGAGAGACCGACGAGAACAGACAGACAACGGAAATAAACATCAAGAACGAGAAACAGAACACCAAAGACGCCCACGAGAAATAAACCCGAGTCCATAAGGCCGCAAGTCCCCCGATTCCTGCATTTTACCGAAATGAGAGGAACACGATTGCATCACGGCGGCGGAGGGCGACCACACGCCTCGGGCCGCTGATTCGCACGGACAACAGCTGCGGGGGGCGGGATGGGCGTGTGTGTGTGTGTGTGTTTGGTGTTTGTGTTTGTTAGCTATTTGTGTGTGTGTGTTTGTGTTTGTTTTTGTGTGTATTTGTGTTTTTGTTTTTGTTTGGTGTTTGTGTTTGTTTTTTGTTTGATGTTTGTATTTATCTTTCTGTTTTTGTTTGGTGTTTGTGTTTGTGTTTTTTTTGTTTGGTGTTTGTTTGTGTTTATGTTTTTGTTTGGTTTGTGTGTGTTTGTGTTTTTGTTTGGTGTTTATGTTTTGGTTTGTGTTTATGTGTTTGGTGTTTGTGTGTGAATGTGTGTGTGTGCGTTTGTGTGTGTGAGATAATTCTTAAACGATATATTCGCTGTATGCTTCGTTGAATGTTTTTCGTGTTTGATTATACCGATCGTTTTTTGAGGGAGTAAAATTTTCTTTGCGTTCATAAGTAAATCAAGAGATTATTTATCTCCAAAAAGAAAAAAAAAAAAATGCTACGACAGAATCTTTAACTATCGACTCCAAACAAAACAAAACAAAGACAACAAAACAAAAAAAGCAAATTCCATTTCTCTCTGGGCCTTTGTTGCACCAGGGATGTGATGTATAAATATGGCGGCTGCGAGGAGGACGAAATCAACTAAAATTCGCACAGAGGGAATTTCATGTTTCTTTTCTTCTCTCTCTCTTTCTCTCTCTCTCCTTTTTTTTCAAGATTATAGGTTATCTAAAATATTTGTTGGTAGGATATATCACCTCAAGATTATTTTTATTTTTCGTTTTATTTACGTATATATATATATATATATATATATAATATATATATATATATATATATATATATATATATATATATATATTTTTTTTTTTTTTATTTTTTTTTTTTTTTTTTTTTTTTTTTTTTTTATGCGATATATTCGATGTCAGATTGGCTTTGCTAACTTAAGGGTTTGAATCTTTTCGCTGAGAATTTAACTCTTTTACTTACGAAAAGAGAGTTTTTTTCTGCCATGCTTCCTCTTTGCTGATATTTGTATTGTTTAATCAGATAGGTTTATATATCGTTTATCGTGGTCCGTGGAAATTTCATGGAACAAATAAGTGAAAATAAGAAATAGGTTTTTCTCCCTTCCTCCTACATTCTTTTACCATCCTCCTTCTACCTTCAACCTCCTCTCTAACTTTTTCTTTCCTTCTCTCTCTCTCTACCTTCCCCTCTGCCGCTCTGCTCCCCCCCCCCACGCCCCATTCCCCTGTGTCACACCCAATTCTTCCTTGAAATCATTTTTTCCTTTAAACTCTACATCATCACCCTCCCTCCTTCCTCCTTAATCCTCCTCCCCACCTCCTTCGCACCCTTATCCTCTTCCCTCCCTCCCCCTCCTTCTTTTCTCCTTAAGACGCTTCCCTTTCTCCTTACCTATCTCCTTCTCTTCCCTTTTTCCCCATCCCGCATTTCTCTATTAGCCCCCCTTCCCTTGCATTTCTCTCCCTTTCCTCTTTAAGCACCTTCCCCTCCCATTTCTCCCTCTTCCCCCGTTTTAAGTCCCCTTTCTTCCCACTCCTTTCCCACTTCCCTCTTTTACTCTTAATTTCCTCCTTCGGGTTGTCGGGTAAATGATAAACGTGTATGAAATGACGGTCTATCTAATTCAGTACAGTGTACTTGCCTCGAGGAAGAGGAATGATAATAATAGACCGATAATAATGACAATGAGAAGGATAATAACGATAATGATAATGATAATAATGATAATGATAAAAAATGATAATAATGATAATGATAAAAAATGATAATAATGATAATGATAAAAAATGATAATAATGAAAATAATTGCGATAATGATAAACAATAATAATAATGATAATAGTAAAAATACTAACAGTATCAATAATGATAATCAGAATAAGATTCTAATAGATTTGTAATATGTTGTTTTTATGCGCGCAAATGTGTCATACTTTGATATCTATGTAGGCAATTATCTCCCCATTTTACATCAAAATGGACCTACTTCAACTCCACAGTCCCATAATATCTATCTATCTATATATATGTGCGTGTGTCTGTATATATATATATACTCATACTGCACACGTGTCTCAGAAGTCGCAAAAGCTATATAGCTGTACTATGCTCTACCATAACAATTAGGTAATACACAAAAGCAAAAGAAATTTTACCCTTTATTTTAGCTTCTCCATTTGGTAAATTTTATACAAAGACTGTCGTGACTCGTAACTATGACTAAATGTTTTATGAGTTAGATATTTAAAGCTTTTTAATTTCTTCTGATTTATATACAAGAAACGGAATTTCTATTTACATATGTACAGAGTTTTTACATTTATACTCTTTATCAACCAACACTCACTCCTGGTATCACTAGATATGGGTTTAATAGATTCATTTTAATGTACAAAATAATCTATAAACAATTCGAGTAAACTATACCATATATACACATACATATACATATGACCTTCTGTGTAAAGGCCATACTCTAAGCGGGCAAGTTCAGGCGTCGCATCAAATCATTTCAACTCTGGAAATCATCCTCTGACCATTACTCGTGCAAGTAATGGATTTTCCAGATTTCTGACTGACCTTTAACCCTTCACCTTCAAGAAATCGGGTCACTTTAAGTTTCATCACAGCTTCAACCTTTGGCATCACACGGTAGCGACGTGAAGCATCGGTGGCTTCACAACCGTTAAGGAGTTCTGGAAACTGTAAGTCATTCACTAACACACACACACTCCGGTGCACACGCGCGCCTAACTACGCGCCCGTGTGCTCGTAAATGTGTGTGTGCTCAACTTCAGATGTAGAAGCAGTGCTCGCAGTTGTGCTTGCACGTGTGGTGGGCGTCGTCGTTGGCCAGAACGGTGATGTTGTGGCTCTGGTTGAAGCATGTCGGGGACGACACGTCGCTCAGCACTGACTCGTTGGAGCGGCTCGTGGGCGTCTCGCAGCGCTGCAGGGGCGTGTGCTGCAGCAGCTCGTACAGCCGCCTGTTGCACGGAGTCCGCTCGGGCGTCTCGCTGTGTGATGCGGTGAGCTGCGGTGGCTTCTCGGGCGTGATGCTGGTCGGCTCCTCCTCGGCCTCCTTCTCGGAGGCGTAGAGCTGCGGCTCGCTGTTGTACCTGTGCATCGGGGGCTTCTGCGGCTCCCGCGACACCGACGACGACCGGTGGAACCTCCGCGTCACGACCGTCTGGGTGCTTGTGTCCGACACGCTCTTCGCGTCCGTGTTGGTGGCTGAGTCGGTGGTGGCGAGCGGCGGCGGAGAGCCTTCGCGGCCGTCACTCTGGGCGCGGGCGTCGGGGCGGGCTTGGGGGCGGGCATGGGCGTAGCGGAGGGCGGAGGGGCCGAGGCGGGCTGTTGGGGAAGGTGGTGGCTGGTGGAGCGGGCTGCGCAGGCTGGAAGGGGCGGGACACTCCGGGCTGGCTAGGGTGGACAGATTGCTTCGGCGGGGCGTGGACGGTGACGGCGTGGGTGGTGGCGGATGAGAAGGCGTGGGCTGCAGGGGGTGAGGGGCGTGGTGGGACACGGCCAGGGGCGGCTTCCTCGACATGACCTCCGTGGATAAGGCGGTGCACGAAGCAGAAGGGAAGGGAGCGCCGTTAGTGGCGGGGAAGAGGAGGAGAGGAGGAAGAGGAGGAGGACGAGGAAGGAGAGACGATGCGGTTGGACGTCGAGGAAGCCATCCTGCTGAGGGTGGTCATCTTCGGAGTGACATCCGTGCAGTCTATGACAGCGTCCTCGATCATGAAGGGCGCGTCCGGCGTCTCCTTCGCGACCTGAGACGGCGGCTGGGGTGGCCTGACGTCGGCCGGCGCGGCGACTGCAGGAGGGGGCGCGCTGGCGCAAGCCGCGGGCCTCTCGCTGGCGGGGGCCTCGGAGGGGGGAGGGGGCCTCTTGGGGTCGCTGGTCCTCAGAGAGAGCTGGAACAAGGAGAGCACTTGATAAGCCTTTCACAAATAGATAAATAACTAGAGAGACAAAAGACAGATATGTCCGAATACACTAACGTCAATACACGTGAATCACTGATCCGGTAATTTCAACACCCTCAGAAAATGAGCTTACGCCAAGCTCGCAACATTAATGACAAACGTAAACACCGCTGCTGTATGGCTCCTTACCCGTCTGAGGGAGAGCGCTTGGGCCATGTTCCTCCGAAGGACAAAGACGTACTCCGCCTGGCGGTCCCGCGGCCACAGGCTCTTGGCTTCCAGGGGGCGCTCGTCGGGCAGCAAGATCCTGTCGCTGTACTCGGGGCTGCGACGCACCTGCAAGGTCGGTTATTTGTTAGGTTTTCCATCGCATTCATTCATAATTTCGAGGTAGAGCCTAAAACAAGCACGTGGAATAGCCCAGGCAAAAAACAAACAAAAAAAAACAAAAAAAAACAACCAAAAAAACAAACAAACAAACAGTACAGACAACTAACAAAATTAGTCACGCAATTTTTTAAACAAGCAGTTAAAAGGGAAATAACTACCTCATGCAGAGCGTAGAAGTATTTGTTCTCCCGCCTGTTGTAGCAGTTGAGGAGGAGCTGCACCACCTCCTCGGACGTGGTTCGGTCCGACACCAGGAGGGACTTGTACTGGGACTGGAAGGGGGAGGAGGGGTTAGTCATAAGGTCTTTGTTTCAGTAAGTTAAACAGCGAAATTCACTCGCAAGTAGTTTACTATCTTTTAGAAAATTATTGTAAAGTAATACCATTGCAAATCAGTTACTATATAATAGTTACACTTATGATGATGATAATAATAGTTATGATATTAGCAAAACGATAATGATAGTATCACAATAATAATCAGAATATTATTATTATTATTATTATTATCATCATCATTAAAAATAACAAAATTAACCACATTCACAATAATAAAAAAATATTATTATTATTATTGTTATTATTATTATAACCATTAAAAATAACATTCAGCAGGCAAACTCACCCCCGGCATGAGGACCGTGTCATGCACCTTGATGACTCCCCCTCGACGCATCTGGAGGGCGAACCTCGAATCTCCCGGCGGCCTACAGAGGGCGAGCTGTGCTGGGCGGGCGTTCTCCTCCAGCACCAGCAGGGACCTCACAGGAGCACCGGACCACCTGCAGGAGAAGGGACATGCGTGAGGACGTGCAAAAAAAAAAAAAAAAAAAAAAAAAAAAAAAAAAAAAAAAAAAAAAAAAATCCCCCTTGTTTACGATAAATGCGGGGATGCCATTTGCCAAAATTATAAAAAAAACTGAAAGTTTGTCAGTGTTCAGAGTCATGTTGAACAATGGAATGAACAACAGGTAATTTCTCCTCATAAGGGAACAAATATAGGTGCATTTTAGGGATGAGGAGAGCAGAGAGAAGGAGAGAGAGAGACTGACTCTGACAAGGTTATTGACGCTATATTTAACATCTTAAACGGATGAGGAAACTCAAAGTGACGTCACTCCCTTCTTATTAAGAACCTGCGCGGGCTTGGATATCACTTGCGAACTTGAGATATATCTATCTATCTATCTATATCTACCTATATCTATCTATCTACTCATCTATCTATCTATACATGAATATATGTATATCTATCTATCTATACATGTATATCCATCTATCTATCTATCTATCTATCTATATATATACATATATATAAATCCATGAAGAGATAGATGGATAGACAGAGAGAGAGATGGACAGAGAGAGAGAGAGAGAGAGAGAGAGAGAGAGAGAGAGAGGAGAGAGAGAGAGAGAGAGAGAGAGAGAGAGAGAGAGAGAGAGAGAGAGAGAGAGAGAGAGAGAGAGAGACAGACAGACAGACAAACAGGTATTACTCCCCGAGCGTGTACAAATCGAAGCGGATTTTTCGAAAGGTCAGCCACAGGAAACGAGAAATCTGACGTCAGGGCAGAACCACGAGGACCCGCGTCTATGCCGGGACACGAGACCCGAAACTCACCTCCTGACGGTGACTTCCATGGTGAGATAGAAGAGGTTCGGGTCGCGGTGCCGCATGCGGTACTTGGAGAGCAGGAGACTCACGACTTCTCGGCAGGTGGCCCTCGAACTCACCGAGATCGTCTTGTACTCGATGTCGGAGCGGAGGCACTTGGCGAACACCTTGATGGTCGTCTGGAGGAGGGAGAGAAAAAAGGGACTGGTTAACGGGCGCTGGGATTTCAGGGACGGGGCATTTGATACCCGGTCGTCTCGGTATGCCATCGAGAGCGGTCACCCGGGTATTAGAAAGTCATACCCGTTTCCTTATGAGCCTTTCCAAGCGCGGTGTGGCAAGGGGCGTCCAGCGAGGGTGACATAATACGTATAAAAAGTGCCTGCTCTAATTACATTATAAAAAAACAGGGTGAATCACACGGCAGTTCTGCTCATTAACCGTAGGCTAATTAGATGATTAATTAACTGCCCGTTAGAACATCCGCCTGCATCCAACAAACAACTTGACGGATCCATGGCGTCCCGAGGAGAGGAAAAACTCACTTAACACCCAACTACGAAGGAGGAGAGGGGAAGGAGGGAAGGAGGGGGAAGGAGGGGGAAGTCCTCAGGTGTAAAGTGTAGGAAGTGTGAAGGATTCGAGGTGTGAAGAGCAGGGCGACGGCTGCCGGAGGGGGGGGGTGTAAAGAGGAGGGGGGGGGGCAAGAAGGCAGGGAAGATGGAGGAGGAAGGGGAGGGATAGAACGAGGAGGAGGATAAGGAATAAAGGAGAAGAGGAGGAGGAGAGAAGGAACAGTAAGGAAGAAGGATGAGAAAAATGAGGAAGGAAAGAGGGAAGTAAGGAAGGGGGATAGAGGGGAGGAGGCAAAGAATACAGAACGTGGAAGGAGGAAAAGGAGGGAATGGAGAGGGAAAGAGTAGAAGAGTAGCTGATGGGGGGAAGAGCAGAGAAAATGAAGAAGAGGAGGAAGAGAAGGAAAAGAGAAAGAATTGGGAAAGAATAAAGAAAACAACTATGATGTCACGAGGGAAAGAACAGAGAACACGAAGAAGAGAAGGAAGAGAAGGAAAAGAAAAGAGAAAACGAAGAGAAAGAACAAAGAAGAAAACAACCACGATGATGAGGGAAAGAGGAAGGGAGGAAGAGAAGATGAGGGAGGAGGGTGTGAGTGTGAGTGTGTGTGTGTGTGGGGGGGGGGGACAGACAACCCCAAAAGTATTTCCGGCGAACATTATGGTCCCGTCCGCAATACGCTCACCTGTGCGACCTTCACGTTGGTTCGTCATGTAATTGGACTCGCCGTTAATTGCAGGTGAGAATCCCTGGCAACTATTTTTGGGGGTTTTTGTAACAGGAGCGAAATGAAGCTGTTGGGAGGGAGGGGAGGGGGGCGGGGGGGGAGGGACGTGGTGGTTTTGTGCTCTTTGAGAGACTTTCCGTGAGGTGAAGTTAGCGACTGGAAGAGAAAATTAAGGGGAGAAAGAGAGACATAGTAAGATAGACAGCATATTATATATATATATATATATATATATATATATATATTATATATATATATATATTATATATATGTATATATATATATTATACATACAGAAGAGAAGGAGAGAGAGAGAGAGAGAGAGAGAGAGAGAGAGAGAGAGGAGAGAGAGAGAGAGAGAGAGAGAGAGAGAGAGAGAGAGAGAGAGAGAGAGAAGAGAAGAGAGAGAAGAAGAGAGATTTTGATTTGATTTGATAATATTTATTTACAGAACAGTGTACATGCCCTGTAAAAAGCCAGGGTAAGATGCTACCGCATCTATCCAACTGGCTATGCTTATATTATGTAAAGGGCTATTAGTCAAACATTAGTTCTACATGCCTGAAGGGCTGTGTCATTATGCATACATTATTTCACATATCATCTAGTTGGTAAAAAAACCTTTTATATCCTAATCTATAAGAAGACAAGACCAGTGTCTATGATAAAATTAATATAATCAATAAGTGCTGGTCCTGGGACAGTGCTATTTGATCGATAGGATGCAGTTTTTGAGCAACAAAGTAAGTAATGTGTAAGATTATGCGACTTGGGCGCCTTGCACATTTTGCATTGGTGATACGTAACTGGCTTTGCCTCCAAGACTGCATCTGTACATAATGTATAGTGTATTGATACCCTATGCGTAGCCTGGTTAGCGTGACCTGCTGTCTCCGAGACAGTCCATCGTAGTATTTATATGGTTTGTCAGCATCACATGACCTGACAATACTATCATAATGCCAGATGGTACCATGTCCACTTTTCTTCAATTTTTCAGTGGTCCATACCTGGCCCTCATAATCTCGAAGACAGCTGATAACACGTTTTTTCATTTGACTGATAGATAGCGGTATTACATAATATGGTTCTTCATGGGAAAGTGCTTGCTTTGCTAACTTATCTACGTTGTCACAGGTTGATATCCCTATATGAGAAGGTATCCAGTATAGTGATACTTGTATACCCTGCTCGGATAGGCTAGCGATTTGGTGAATGATATTGATAGTTACCATGTTTTCTGGATTAAATGTTGTAAGTCTATACAGTGCACCCTGGCTGTCAGAGAAGACAGCTAGGTGTCGCTGCTGTTCAGTGCCTTTTTTTGATGGCATGGTATATTGCTACTGACTCGGCATCAGTTGTGCTTGTCCAGTTGGAAATTCGCACACTTTCTTGAAGACCAATGTCGGGAATTAGTACACCAATCCCTGCTGCTCCATGAGGATCAGTAGAAGCATCACAGTAGATTGCAAGTGGGGGGGTACCCTGAGGGGGATGGAAAATTTCATCTATATATTTCAAGTAATGGCTTTTTCTCTGTTATTGAAGTCATGGATTTTGGCCCTGTTAATTTATCAATATGTACGTTTAACATGTGATCTATGCCATGGTGGAAGTAAGCGTTGCTTCTGGGATGTTGATAAAATCATTTGTTCCACACACTGAAGCTGAGAATGGTCTGAGCAGTCTTGGCCTTCCATTCCAAGTTGACTTTATGAGATTGGAGTATCGAGGCCGTCGGACATGCCTAACTCTACAATTAATCTCATTAGACAATGCAAGGGAAATATGAGGTTTGGACTGAATCTGCAGAAGTCTGATGCCGAGTATGGTGTTGACTTTGGGTAATACGGCTGTGAATTGACGGGAGATCAAGCTCTTTCCTCATGACAAGAACTTTAGCAGTTATTGGGCAACCCAAAATGACTCTCATGGCCTTGTTCTGTAAGATTTCAAGGGTTTGAGAACATTTTGTGGCAACATACTAAGAACCGGGCTCGCATAGTCTATCATGGACCTAAACAAGGGAAATGTACATCAATCTTAGGACTCTTAGGGAAGCACCAACGTATCTGTTACTTATGTATTGTAAAGGTCTTAAGCGCTCCAGGCAGCATTCTCTGATGTTTTTGAACGATTTCCCGAGTGAAGCGGGAATTGCGGGACATGAGGTGGGGAGCACTCACCATAACACCAGATACTTATAGGTGTCAGTTTTTGCAATAACTTGCCCACCTAATCTTGGAATATATGACAGTTTGTTTGATCTGGAAATATACTTAGTCTTGACAGGGTTGATTACGAGTCCAAGGGAAGTGCACTTTTTACTGAATCCCTGAAGAACATACTCCCCCCTATCAAATACCTGAATGAGAACGTCATCAGCATAGGATGTGATGCTGCATAGGTCTCCTAACTCACTATTTAGCTTGCAAAGAGAGTGCATAAGAATGTTAAATAGTGAAGGGGACAAAACTCCTCCTTGTGGAGTTCCTAACTCGAGTTCACCATAATTACTGTAGTGTGCTTGGTAAATACTCTTGCTCTTCTCAAAGACAGATAATCCTTTATCCATAGCAGAAGCTTGCCCTTAACTCCTAGGAGAGTTAATTCATGGAGGATTGCAGTAGGGGAAGCTCTGTCAAATGCACCCTTGAAATCTATGAAGTAAGAAGCCTGTGCATTACTTCCACTGAGGTACTGTGCCAGGCACATTTGTGTTCCTTTTCCCTTTTGGAAACCAAAGACTGATGGGTGAATTTGATCTTTGATCTGGTGGAGCAGGCCCCACTCAGCATAAACCTCGAAAAGCATTATGGCCGGACGAGCCAGCACCTCCACCAGACCCCTTTAATAGTGTCACCATAAACCACCGCAAAAAACAAGTCATTCGCCCCCAAGGTCAGCTGGACATGATGAGCCAAGGTCACGGAGGAGACACACCGAGCCGGAAGGTCAGCACGCAGTCAGCATTAAAACAGGATTAGCATTTTTCTCCCCGCGTTTGCCCGACTCGCAAAGATGCTTTCCATTGTAGACTCTTTTCTAGGTAAGAATAAGGATAAAAACTGTGTGCGCTGAGCTAGTGGTAGGAAGGAGGGAGGGAGGGGGGAGGGGAGGGGAGGGAGGGAGGGGAAGGAGGGGGGAGGAAGAAGGAGGGAGGAGGAAGGAGGGAAGGATGGGTAAGGAGAGGGAGGGAGGAGGTAGGGAAGGAGAGATGGAGGGAGGGAAGGAGGGAGCAGGAAAGGGAGGGAGGGAAACCTCAAAGCAAAGAAAGGAGAAGAGAAGAGCGTGTGTGTGGGAGAGGGAGAGGGAGAGGGAAGCATAGAAACAGAGACACCAAAAAGGGAAAAAAAAGAAAAAGAAAAAAAAAGTTCTACTTGAAACTCGCACAGGACAGACAACATTAACCCTAAAGCTTTTATAAGAATACAAAACCCTTCTAAGGGAGGCCTAGACAGCAGCTGGAAGGCGGGGAAGACCGAGAATGAAATAAAAACAAAAAGCCAGGTAAAGGAGAAACGGGGAAGGGGGACCCAGGTAGCGTCCTACAAGGTACAAGGCAAAACTAAATTGGCACAGACTCTGCAAAGATTTTTAAGGTGTGGGCATTACTCGGCAGACAGGGAGGCGTAGGGGGGAGGTGGGAGGGGGTCAAGGAGGGGAAGAGGGGGTGGGGTGGGGCGTGGGAAGGGGTGGGTAGTTTATGTGTCCAGTGGAGGAAGTTATATTCGGGGGTTGGGGAGGGGGGGGGCGAGGAAGACGCCACTCGAGTTGAGGTATAAGGGGAGGGGGGGGGTAAAGAGAGAGGAGGAGGGAGGTGGAGAAGTGGTGGATGAGAGGAAGTGAGTGAGGAGTGAGTGGAGAGAGAGA